CCACCTCAGCACTGGGTTCTTCTGTGTGTCCTCTCATCATGCAAAGCCCAGCGGATGGGCAATGAAACAGAAAGGTCACAAATTTAAAACATGATTAAAGGAAATATGTCTTGTATACCAGTGCTTAGTTAGCATGTGGAACTCCTCGCCACAGGATACCATAGAGCTTGGGGTTTTGCAGGATTCAAAAAAGGATAGGACATTTATACAGACAACTAGATAAACTGTATGTTCAGAGTTACCTTCATGTGACTGCACCCTCAGCAAATTTGCGGATGACACTAAGCTAGGTGGAGAGGTAGATACGCTGGAGGGCAGGGATAGGGTACAGAGTAACCTAGAGAGATCAGAGGATTGGGCCAAAAGAAATCTGATGAGGTTCAACAAGGACAAGTGTAGAGTCCTGCACTTGGGACGGAAGAATCCCGAGCATTGGTACAGGCTGGGGATCAATTGGCTATGCAGCAGTTCGGCAGAAAAGGACCTGAGGATTGCAGTGGATGAGAAGCTAGACAGGAGTCAACAGGGCGCCCTTGTAGCCAAGAAGGCTAATGGCATAGTGGGGTGTATTAGGAGGAGCATTGCCAGCAGATCCAGAGAGGTGATTATTCCCCTTTATTCGGCTCTGGTGAGGCCACATCGGGAGTATTGTATCCAGTTCTGGGTCCCCCACTATAGAAAGGATGTGGACACATTGGAGAAGGTCCAGTGGAGAGCAACCAAAATGATTAGGGGACTGGAGCACATGACTTATGAGGAGAAACTGAGGGATTTGGGCTTATTTAGTCTGCAGAAGCAAAGAATGAGGGGGGATTTGAGAGCAGCCTTCAACTTCCTGAAGGGAGGTTCCAAAGAGGATGGAGAGAGGCTGGTCTCAGTGGTGACAGATGGCAGAACAAGGAGCAATGGTCTCAAGTTACAATGGGGAAGGTCTAGATTGGATATTAGGAAAAACTATTTCCCTAGGAGGGTGGGGAAGCACTGGGATGGGTTCCTTGGGGTGGAATCTCCATCCCTAGAGGTGTTTAAGTCTCGGCTTGACAAAGCCCTGGCTGGGATGATTGAGTTGGGATTGGTCCTGCTTTGGGCAGGGGGCTGAACTTGATGACCTTCTGAGGTCTCTTCCAGCCTGATGATTCTAAGTCTATATGCAGAGTAGCCATACCCATGATTTAAATATTATATGTTCATATAAATAATAATATCAATCTTCATACTTCAGGCTAAAAACCAAGTCCTGCCTGATAGGGTCAGGAAGAAAATTCCCTGCTGCAGTTTATTCAATAGTTGCCCATCTCTGACGCATCTGATACTAGTCACGGTCAAAGACACGGATCCTAGATTAGATGGAGCACTAGTCTGACCTGGGATGCCAAATCCCACATCCCTATCACACTGCATCATGGCAGCAGCATGCAGCAGCACGCTGCACATGGGCAGCTCCGAGTGGAAATTCAGTGGCATTTTCAGGAAGTTTTCCAAAAGAACTGCAGATTAAGAGACGACACCACAGCCAGGCTTTCAAGGCACATGAGAGAGGTACAGCAGTGGGGCCAGCGCTACAGAAGTCAAAGATGGTGGTGATCACACTCAGCGCTCCCTAGCCCCTCAGTAAGGGATCATACCCACGAAAGAGAGGTCAGTGTTCATCCTAAGCACAAGTTCTGCCGTCATGGGCCAGAGCCACAAAATGACTCGGGAATCCAAGTGCTGTGAATCTGAAAGCATTTCAGTCTATTCACCAGCCTTATCAGCGCATGTCACTGAAAAACATGCATCACCGCAGGAAGTTCTCCAGACCAAATCTCACTGGTCCAGACACAGTATCACCCCGCTGGGGAACAGCTTTCAGAATTTCCACTGAGTCACGTTGTTAGGAAAACAACCCCCCAAAAAAGAGATTAGGATCCCAAATCAAGAGCAATATGTTCGGAGTACTTAAAAAAAAAAAGTCACAAATCCACTAATACCCTCCTTGATATACCCATAAGTATCAGTCCCTCTGAGCTGGATTCTGATCTCAGTGGTACCAGTGTAAATCCAGACAAATGCACTGCCACATTTGCAGGCAAACGATTGGGAGATTTCTGCATCACCTCTAACTTATCACCCAGAGCATTCTCAGCGCCTGGTTGTTGCATTTTTTTGGTCTATACTTAAGCCCCTTCATTTTAATCTGATTGTTACTGGGGAAAATCCCAGGTTTTACAAAAAGTATTGTTTGGTTTTTTTCCCCCATTTTCACACTGTTTTTGTATCATCTGAATAGATAAAAAATGTGCATCGTCCTAATAAAGCACAATACATTGCATGAAATAAACGTACTTCGATGATCCATTACGCTGTGAGTATAGATACAGCTTCCTGCTGCAGTAAGGTCGTATATCAGTCTAGAAGACACACAGAGTAAACAAACAGGCAAGTACATAAGCTCTGAAGTACGTGCACATCTAAACATACGACTGACTCTCACGCCCACCACTTACACAGTTCAAGCTGTTAGCAGATAACGATGTAAAGAGCTGACACGCTAAACAGGGAAGGAAATGAAAATCTGTCTCAGAATACATTTCAGAACACAAGCAGGTAGTCAAAAAAGTTAAACACAAACAGGAGAAAGGGATGAAGTTGCGTGTATGCCCTGCAAATGGTGTGCCCCGGTTATTAAATGTTTATAGGCTACAGCAGTAAACTGTTGATTCAAAGGGAAAATTTTAGTTGGGGATTAGCGATGTATTGTCTTAAACTCAGTTCCGTGTTTTGAGTTCTGTCCGCAAACCACGCTGAATTCTATTAATCGAAGCATTTATCTACAGAATACTTTTTCCTTCCCCCTCCGTCCAGCAAAATAAACTTTGATATTTACCCAGAAAAAAATGTTAATCGTTTCCCCCTCCCACTGATTTTCATTGGTTTTTGTTGTAGTAACAAACACCAATAAATTCCCCAGGAAAAAATTAAATAAAATAAAAACTGAAAACACAGGATCCAATCTACACTGTACTACAAAGTCTTAACAGCAGAGATCGAGTTTCTGTGTATGTTGAGTAAATGCGGTTGGCAGTCAGATTATAAGGGCACACGATTTCCTCCACCAGTGCTTGCAAGAGAGATTGGGACTCCCTTGTGTGACAAGAGTAGCCCAGTAGCCCAGCTGGCCAAAGCAGACTCCTTGTACTAGGAGTAAAGGTTTCATAATCGGTCCTTGAGGGTTCTGTGAATGACATTCTAGCCTCTCCATGCAAGGTCCAAGATGCTTAATTATGGACACTCTAGCCCAGGGGTGGGCAATAATTTTTGCAGGAGGGACATTTAATGAATTTTGGTACTCGGTCACAGGCAAGCTCCACCCCCAGAAGGGGTGTGGCCTGGGCAGAAGGGGTGGGGCTGGAGACTAGCCTCCTGCCAGAATTGTCTGGGGCTGGAGGCTTTGAATTAAAAACAGAGCAAAGGGCTCCCGGCTCCGGTCCCTGCTAGGCTATCGCCACGACTGAGAACTGAGAGTTATTTAAATGGGAGTTATTTAAGAGGTGGGCCGGATCTGGTCCCAGGGCCACATCTTGCCCAGCCCTGCTTAAGCATGGCTCTTACCCTAAATCTGAGTGCTAGCTCAGCAGATGCTCTATAAGAACACAAGCATCCAGTTCTTCCAGTATGTCCACACTGCACAGTTAGCCCAGAGCCACTCGAAGCCCACGCTAGCCCATCCTGCTGCGGTAAGATTGCCAGGAGTCTGGTTTTCAACAGGAACATCCAGTCAAAAAGGGATCCTGCTGGCTCTGGTCAGCACGGGGCTGGCAGACTTCCTACCCAGCTCTGCACTGCTCCCTGGAAGCAGCGACTTGTCCCTCGGACTGCGAGGCAGAGGGACAGCCACGGGGATCCACGCGCCGCCCCAGCACGGCTGGAGCGCCAACGCTGCAGCTCTCCCAGGCTGGGAACCGCCAGCCAACAGGAGCCGCAGCCGTGCTGCCCGAGGGCGGAGCCAGAGCTCAAGCCCGCTGGCTACGCCTCCGCCTAGAAGGCGACGCATGGGCGGACCTAGTGCTGGGGGGAGGCAAGCCTCCAATCCCGCCCCTTCTGTCCACGCCCCTATTCCTGCCACCCAGTGCCCTTTGGGAGCCACCCCTCCCAGTGCAGGCGACAGACACATGGTCCCAGCCTGCCTCTTTCGCCTGCTCCTCAGGAGCCAAGAGACATGTTGCAGCTCCTGGGGATCTCCGCCTAGGGCCTGCTTCCCAGCCCTCCGCCACAGCCCTCCGCCCCCTCCTGCATCCTACACCCCAACCCCCTGCTCCAGCCCGGAGCCCCCTGCACTCATTTCTGGTCCCACTCCAGAACCCAAGCCCCTTACCCCCTCCCCAACCCTTGTTTCAGCCCAGAACCAATGCTCCAAATCCCTCAGCTCCACCCCCAGCTGAGTCCCCTACTGTATCCCAAATGCCTCATCCCCAGCTCCACCCCGAGGCAGCCTGGCGAAAACGAGCAAGTGAGAGAGGGTGTGGGAGAGGAAGGAGGAATGGTGAGAGGGGCGGGCTGGGGCAGGCAAGGTTAGAGGCAGAACTCCACTTTCACTGGGCTTGAAAGCCACTCACTTCGCAGGGAAGAGAAAGGCCGAGTCACTGAAGTAATTGATAACCCTCCACCGCCCTTCCCTCAATGCCCTCCCCCCATCAAAGGAAAGGCAAGTTCTGCAATCGACACAACAGACGGGAAAAGCATCCTCGAGTTGCCTCAGCACAAGGGATCTGCCCCAGCCACACGTAGGGGTGAGCGTGGAAACAGCAAGGACACAATAAGGCAGGTGGGACTCAGGGATGCTCATGAGGGAGGCTAACCCAGGCGCTCACACTCTGGAGCCAGTCACCTGGGATAACCGTGCAATGTAGACACAACCTTAGTCTGTGGACCTGGGTAATACGTGCACGATCGGTTTCTGATGAGACACGTTCTCCCGGCCCCCGTGGGGTCACAGCAGCGAGCACGAACATTGGCCTTACTTTCTCGGTGGGCGCCGCGTTTCCAGAGACTTCCTCATAGGCCCCCACGTCCTCCCAGGTGGCGATGAAGGCCCGGGTGGGAGAGAAGGCCCCCGGAAAGGCAGCCTGGATGAGGCCAGCGGCCTGGGCCAGCACCTCGGGGGACTCCTCCTCCCGGTAAAAGACCTTCCCCCTGCCGCCGCTGGTGTCGATGTCGGACAAGAAGGGGGCGATGGCCGGGAAGTCGGTGGGGAAGTCGTCGTCCACGTACTGGGTCTCCCTGGGGAAATCCTGGGTGGAGATGATCCCGTTGGTCCCTACCTGCAGGACTCAGCACAAGCGGCCTGGGCCAGCACCTCGGGGGACTCCTCCTCCCGGTAAAAGACCTTCCCCCTGCCGCCGCTGGTGTCGATGTCGGACAAGAAGGGGGCGATGGCCGGGAAGTCGGTGGGGAAGTCGTCGTCCACGTACTGGGTCTCCCTGGGGAAATCCTGGGTGGAGATGATCCCGTTGGTCCCTACCTGCAGGACTCAGCACAGACCATGGCACCGGGCGCGCCAAACGCACCGGCTGCAGCGCAGAAAGAGCCGGTCCGGGGCCACCTCTCCATCACCCGCTCCCCCAACCAAGTCTCCCCCCTCCCGGGC